CTGTGTGTGTGTGTGTGTGTGTGTGTGAGTGAGTGAGTGAGTGAGTGCGTGAGTGAGTGTGTGAGTGTGAGTGAGAGAGTGTGTGTGTGTGTGTGAGTGTGTTTGTGTGTGAGAGTGTGTGTGTGTGTGTGTTTGAGTGTTTGACTGTGAGAGAGTGTGTGTGTGTGTGTATGTGTGTTTGAGTGTGAGTGTTTGTGAGTGTGTTTGAGTGTTTAAGTGTGTGTGAGTGTGTTTGAGTGTGAGTGTGTGTGTGTGTTTGAGTGTGTGTTTGAGTGTGAGTGTGTGTGTGTGTGTTTGAGTGTGCGTGTGTGTGTGTGTGTGTGATAAAGCATGGACCCACGCGCGTCTCACCTGATATGGTTGCGGAGGCCACAGATCTCCGTCTTCAGCTGATCGTTGAGCTCCTGCTGTTCCTCCACGTCTCTTTGCAGCTTCTTCCTGCTGTTCTCCAGCCTCTCAATCTCCTCCTCGGCCTCGTCCAGCTGACGCTTCAGGGTTTTCAGACGCAGAGACAGCTGCAGACACATGGGCCGAGTGTGAGGCGTGTGTGGACAATAAGAGTCGCTCCCATCTGAGAGCAGATCTCTCTCTCGTTTGTGTGGAAATGAAAACAGAACAGGATGATTCCTGACACACACACACACACTCACACGCTATGACTGCAGGAGGTGGTTTTTACCCAGCAGGAGCCGCAGGAGCCCTGATCCCGGATCTGACTGAGGGACTTACAGTAAGGCCACTCCGTCCGCGGGTCGAAACTGACAGGAAGGTTCATGTTGGCGGCATGTTTCACCCTACACATGGACAAAACACACAATTTATCCATTTTTAAAAAAAATGTTTTTATTTATTACAATTCATTTAATTAACTTTAAACAAACAAATAAATAAATATTATTTAATTTAATTATCTCTCCTCCAGCTCCTGCAGGTGCTGCTGCAGTTTGGAGATGACGGCGTCCTGACCGATGCGCTGAGATCCCTCCAGCTGCGCCACGCGGCCCCGCAGATCCTTATTCTACAGGACAGCAGATCCAGGAGCTCAAAACAAACCCGGAATACCACACTCTATTCTCAGTCGAACCCGACACCTAAAATATTCACCTCAAGTCCCCTGAGATTTATGTTAATATTTCAATAATTTATTGACACATTCACATGCACACTTTTTTTGTAAAATACTAAATGAATATTTGATGATAATTATAATAATAACTTTATTTTACATTACAAAATTACTTAAATTCTTAATTTTTAAAGTTTAAATCTCCAGGCTTTAATTTTGGCAGAATATTGGTGAAATGCTGTAAACATCAGTTCAGAAAGAAGTTGAATATCATGTGAATGTGTAAATAAAGTGAATTTAGCATGTTCCTGCAGGCATGTTAATCTCACAGCACAGATATACTGCGATTTCAGTTTAATTCTTTTTTTTTTCACATTCAATTTAATTATTAACTCATAAAGCCCTGTTTGGAAAACTGAGAAATGTATTATATATTTCAATGAAATGCATGATTTTATACTAAATTAATTTACTAAATGAAAATTAATTTATATGAATTATATTCATATATGTGTCCCTGCAGCACAAAAGCAGTGTTAAGTCGCTGGGGTATATTTGTAGCAATAGCCAACAATACATTGTATGGGTCAAAATTATAGATTTTTCTTTTATGCCAAAAATCATTAGGATATTAAGTAAAGATCATGTTCCATGAAGATATTTTGTAAATGTCCTACCGTAAATATATCAAAACTTAATGTTTGATTAGTAATATGCATTGCTAAAAACTTCATTTGGACAACTTTAAAGATGATTTTCTCAACATTCTGATTTTTTTGCTCCCTCACATTCCAGATT